TCAGCGGAATGATTGTGTTGGATTAATAACATTATACATTGCAGAGCGGAAGTTCAAAGACTCCTTGGAAAAAGAGAAATTCTAGCAATATTAATATGCTGGAAACATACTATGTATTTTGCAGTGTGTACACCTTCATTAGTAGCAACGCCATGTGACGGCAAAAGAAACAGCGAAAATAGCAACATAAATGACTTTTTTCTCGTCACACAGATACGCATGCGATCTTCCTGTGTCGGAGATATCTCGCGGATTCTGTCAAAAAGAACCCATCTTGTTCAACACACCACCTGAGGCCGCGAGCATTTGCATATATGCACGAACTTGATGGACTTCTATGCATTTCTATTTTAGCATCCATAATTAAAACACGCACACATGCATCGATGGGACGTGTTACGATTCTACAAACCCGTTCACACGATCACTAAGGCCGTTTAATTGATTTGGGGTGTTCGAACGCCTATATAATTTCGGACCCAGACAATTATCACCTTTTACTTGGTCAAAAGTAAGTTTCTTCGCACGTCTGTCTGAGTACTTTGTGGCAAGTCAACATCATGATTATCTCTCTCAACAGTCACTTTAAATGATTAACTGGATCATTACGCAATAAATATAAAGTGATCCAGTGACACCACATTACGCAAATGCAAGATCTCATAAATTTTCGACGGAGTCAAAACTTTCAGCCATTTTTCAGCTTCCCCTCATCAATACAATCTCTCAAGCGCCATTGGATGTCTCTCAACCAACAATCATTGATTCTCTTTGCCCGGATTGCAAGTGACATCGTAAATTTTTGCCTTTATTGGACTCTTTAACCGGAATGCGAATTTCATGGGCGGCAAATTGGCGCCCCGAGAAATTTCATGTTTCCCTGCTCAATTTGGACCTCTTTTTTTCGTGCCTTTTATTTTTTTTTATATCTGTTACTGCGAGGTGAAAAATACTCCCAACCCTCCACCATAAATTACCATTTACAATAAAGCAAAATATTCACGCTATTTCTTGTTTTAACGGAAGATGCAAGATGGAACACCCACATGGTGTTTCACGTGAAAATCAGCAAACATTCCGCAGTTTAGCACTTCGTAAATGCTAAAATAAAAGTTATTACTGTGGAAAAATTATCATCTGCGAGTATCTTCTAATTTGACCTCCTATAGCGGATTATCACTTAAAAGGATTTTTACAATGGAGCTACATTTCAAATGCTCCCAGTTTATCTATAATGAAACTTGAGATGAAATGTAAAATTAGTTGAAAAGTGACAAATTTTAATTTGTGTATATCTAATGAATTTCCATTTGATCTAAATTCCTTCACATCTCCCTCCGACATTCCTTTACTATGAGTGAAAGCGTCTTCACATTAATTGGACCAATTCAGATAAATGGCGCAAACGAAATTCCATTTTCAATAGACGAACTCATGCGTGTGGAGGCGAATGGGTATAAAATCGTGGAGTGTTGTGTGAAAATAGTCCCTTTGTCTGATGGTTTACAAGAAGTTGTGCTTGACCTGCACGACTTCAACCCTCTGGGAGAGGGAACCTAATGCTCCAACACCTCTCGGAATATTCACCTAAATCACGCAGTGGGATATTATCTCTATTTTCACACAAAAAGCCTGAGTATGTAAATATTCACCATATTTCACTGAGTAGGCAATCTCCATGATTATTCCATCCCAATGAATGGGTCTCTAAACTTCCACCAGAGTGCATTCTGCAATTCGGATAGACTTCTGAACTCATAGGCTATCTTCCAGTGTGATCACTGGCGGAGGCTAGAAGTTACAGAAATTTGCATGCACTTGTATCCGGAGGACCGTGTTTATGTTCTCTCTCGGGCGAAATTCTCGAGATGGTGTCAATTTTCATTAATTTAAGAGGAATGGCGTGTGTGATTGAAATTCGGGCGCTAGAGATTAATTAGTTAGCGCATGTAAAATCCAATTTGTGGATGTTTTCATGGTGAAACCCACATAATTACCAGCAAATCGGCAATAGACTCAACAGATGGTCAAAATATTCCTTCATCTCTCCTGCCTTCTCACACGTTGAACATTCAAAAGACTTCATACATGAGCGAAAATCGCGTATTTCTCTCTTATGAAACAAATTCGCGATACATTTGCTGTCTCACTAGAGATGATAAAATATACCGGTTTGCCCCTGCCCAGGCTTCGTCCGGCACTCGAAAGATTTTTTAAAGGCGCATTGTGAGAAAGAACTTTTTAGTTTCTGATAGCAGAGGAAGCAGAGAATTTTCTCCGGCATCAAGAAGTGGGATTTCAACGAGCTCTCTTGCCTTCTTACACATCGTAAAATATTTATTGTTCATTAGTGATACAATAATGGTAATCAATGGACTGCTCAATCGATGCTTGCAGTCAGAAATTACACTCAATCTTCCTCTGTTGTCTTGCGAAGGTCCCTCTAACATCCATGGATTTTTCCCGCGCGCAATGTCTTGTTTGGCCGACTAGAGATAATGCATTTTCTTATATTCCACTTTTAAGAGCTGTGGTGGTAATGGAGCCATTTAGATGATGCTAAGATTAATCATTCACTTCCTTAGCAAATGCCCGGGTGATTCTGCCATGTTGTACAACAGACCGTGGTCGGAGCCTCAAATGGACGAAAAAATATCCCAAGTATCCAGCTGAGTGTTTCTACTCCTCAGAAGCAACTTTTACCATTCCGAGCACCTCGACCGTGAGCAACAAGTGAAATCATGCAGCGTGTAACTGCCAATAAAACTATTTAATTATATCAGATAATACAGTCTCACTTCTCATTTTCATATTCACAATTATCAGTGGCTAGTTGGAGAATATGACAATGTTTTTTTTCTCTTTAATACTTCATGTTTGTACAGTGATTTCCTGAAAGTATCGCTATGTATTTTCTTAAGCATCCATATCAATCATCGCCCAGTAATGAAAACAAACATAACACTCTTGAGATTCAACATACCACATGGAAAATGAGATGAAAACGTTTTCAATATTAAACACTTTCGTTTTGAAAAATTTTATGTATTATGACTGTAGTTAGAGCATGGTGTGAAAGTAAATTCAAACTTCACTACGTCTGTATAATTTTGTATTCATGACTGTAACTAAATGTTCATTACGTTGAGTGATACAATTTTCAATGCAAATGCTCTAGTAAATTTAAAAAAAAAAAACCCAATTTTTTAGCCATACTATCAACAGAAGCAATAAACGAAATGTTACTCTGACTTGTGTACAAACTTCAAGGAACACGGGAGAAATTACCAAGGCAGAGAAATCAACAATTCTTTATGGCAGTATTTCATACATTTCGCCACTTATTTCGTGCGAGAGCACCGACACAAATTGTAAATTATGTTTTCAAATCACATTTCGCATGGGTCGATGTCTCCTTACAGTTCCGTAGGCCATATCAGCCAAGTCGCACATTTGCAGTAATCTTCTAAGCGTGTACAGAGCAAATCGACATAGTTCTTGTAGGAATAATTTGCTGTATTATTTCACATTGGCTCATGCCCTACTTGTCAAGTATACGCTTTTATTCAATCAACAACGAAATCTTCCATCTATGTATAAGTCAACATGAGCTCAACATTTCCGTTTTCACTTTGCAAAACATCTAATTGAGGAAAATATTCACGGTTTCTGCCAACTACTGTTCGTACTTGTCCTATCATATCGACTACATATAATTACTTTTCACATGACTAAAATTTATGTTGTGTCTGGCAATCAATCGTGAGATAATTTTCCCAAGACTCTGACCGTGGGCAAGTCACAGTTCGAGGAGAGTATTCACGAAATGGGCAAATCGCCTTCGCAACCTATAGGCCATATAATTTGGCAATCACTGAGATAGAAAATTTTATGATCCTCCAGGGAAAAAGAAAGTGCTTTAGACACTAGAAAATTGTTACACTTGATGTCGTGTTAGAAAAAGTTTCTTCAGCCACAATTTCTATTGCACATTTTCATGCTTGAGCTCAATATCTTGTCTCTTCCGTCGACTCTGCCGCAGCATAAATTTCTTCATGGCGCGGAATCGCTTTTTTCGGTGTGAATCCGTGAAAATCAATTCACGATTTCGTGATAAATAAACTGTGTGACAAATTGAGTGTCATTAATAAACAGCAAATAATACAAAATTGCCTTTCATTGAAACGTTGTGTGGATTATTTTCTATATTTGATCTCAAACACCCCGTGAGGAAACAGTATTCTCAAGACGCACACTTCAATTTGGCAGATTAATTGACTTTCTCCTGCATTGCAAATTATCTCGTGAGTATCGCTCTGAAAGAAGGGTTCAAATGGAACACTGAACCCAGATTAATTTGAGAAGTATCAAGCTGACGAGAGGATTGCTCGGATTCGTGGGAAGTTTGAAAAGTAGCGATAAAATTAGCGCGGTAGAAATCATCTGTGAAACTTTCTTCCCGCAAATTAATGCGATCATCAGACGATAGTGAGAGAAAAGGCATTAAGTTTGATGTACATGTTAAATATCTAATAAATCTTCTACCTTTTCTTCACATCTCTCCGCTTGTGTCGCATGCGAAATTAGGTGTGTGGAACTCAAATTGATGAGAAACACAGTTAGAAATCGCGATGAATTGCTTAGAAAATGGGAAGAACTTTTTTGCGACTCTCAAATTAGTCATAATGATACATTGATTATTCACAATATAATTTGTGTTAAATTTATTGTATATGTTTCAAATTAAAATTATCTGCACGTTCTTCCCGTTACTTAATTAACTCTATCTGCACTTTTAATTTTTACTATCTCGCATTAGTCAATAGACATCCCTCTCAATGTTTAGCAGTGGACTAACCGGACGTTTTTTTCTCATTATCACATTTCGAAGTATTCATTTCTCTGACATCGATGGCGTCGATGGAATAATTAACAGTGGTGGACTTTTTTTACTGTTTGATTGGCAAATAATTGAGGAGCTTAAAAAGAGTCACACATACCTGGCCCCAACAATCACTTGATCTCTGGCGACATCGAAGAGCAGACGCGAAAATGATGTGACATTTCCATCAGTGAAACGACTCGAAGTCGGCAGCAAATCTGCAAAGAAATAATCCGAAAATCAATTAAGAACCTTTCAAAATTATTCCACGGTAAGTGGATGGGAGCATAAGTGTGTTTAGTGAGATAATTCTCCAAAGAGTGATTGAAGATCTTTCACATCAAGTGCATTGAGAACTCAAGATGCATTAGTGATCACTTTCAAGTCCTCTTTGACTTAACAGTGACACGCGTTCACCAATCAATCATGGGAATGTTTTTCCATAAAAAAAATACCCCACGTGCATGCCAATCACCACTCTAATAACTTTCAAATTGTATTTACTTTTGATGAGTGACCATAGCAAATATCGCCAACATTTGAATTTATGTAGTATTTCTAGAGACTGTTTAAATTTGCCAATATATCCCATTCACTGATCTTGTTTGCAAATAATTGACCCAAATTGTGAGGTCTTGTTGATTTTCAATTTTTGACCCTTTTTGGATGTTGATACTGGCTGAAGATCGAGGAGTCATGGCGCCGCGCTGCGGTCTCCCATTAGCATAAGAAGCAAATATGAATGCTTTCTACAATCACACTTATTATTTGAAAACAGTAATGGACTCAGTAATGGTTCAGTCCTTCATGTATAAATCCACAATGCTCGACACCACAATTCAATAAAATTAATCAACCTAATTGTATAATGAATGTACAGATATTCCACGAAATTCATCCTCGAACTCTTATATTTCCAGACAGAAAGCACATAGGTCATAACTATTTACAGTTAAAGATGATTAAAGTAAAATGCAAATACGGATATTGTAAGTTTTATGTTGGTAATTTTAAAATGAATTGAGGTATGCAAAGCATATGGTCACAAGATACAAGATGCACATCCTTCTAGAAATCTTTGTCAGCAAAGGCCGGTATGAGAAACAGATGTTTCAAAATCTTCATGTGAATTCAGAAAAGCAACCGTTTACTTTAGTGGGGTGTAAAATAAGCAATGAAATTTTACCATTTCTTATTACCAGTCGCACTTTCTTATTCTTTTCATGATTTCACCCACGACCTTTGCCTTCATTCGAAGGTTTATCAGTAAATTGACTCAAATTATAGAATAATTTAGGCCAGCCTTAAATAGCCTCAATTTTCAAACACTTACGACAAAACTCTAGTGAAATTCCCACTCATTTGCTCCCTCGATTTTTATTTATTATTTTAATACCATCTATTTGCAATTCTCCTAGAGCGCACAAAGCCAAAGATTCATTGCTGTTTCACGGGCGTATATCTCTTGTAGGTTTCTTGTACAACCAAAGCGATCAGTTTCAACATGCAAAGAACCGCCTGATGCAATCTTTATCATTCCGTTTTATGCAAATCTCGATCTCGGGAATAAAAATAAAAATGGTCACTATTTGTTCTGGCTCCGTACAAAATGATTGTCAGAAAATTGGCAATTATTCACGAATGGCATTGAATTAATTTATGAGGTGTACTTTAATCCATTTTGTGTATATGAAATAATCTCATCATTGGTGGTGGAGCGCTTTGCCAGGACTTTGTGATGTTCCTCGCGCGTTCTTTTTATGCCATTTGCTACACTATATATTATAAATTACGTTGCTTTTTATTTATGCACATATTATGCAGAACATGTTCATGTAATTTACGCATGTACGAAGAGAGTGTGGACTCCTCCATAAATTCCTCTCCGCCAAGGTGCTAATTTTGCATTATCTTAGACACTAAAGAACATTAAGAATCTGCATGTTTTCGCCAGGCACAATGGAGCACAGGTAAGAGGTATTATGTCTTTCTGTCAGCTCGTTCGGTACATGAACTGGTTTGACCATTATTTGACCCATTTTGGCCAGTAAATTATGGGTGAGAGATCGGCCAAAATTTCTGGCACTATAATTGCACACGGCTGTGTTTCGATAATAAGTTTACCAACAGAAGAAATTGACTAATCTTGCTCTGGCAGCTTCAACAATTCATATTCTTCGGCTCCATTCGCATCATTGCGCGCAACATTTCTTCTCTCAATCACCCCACATTATCATTGTCCTTCGCAGGGCAGGACATTGCCCTGAGATGACTCTCCGTGACCACGGCGAGTGGGGAGTAAAACAAACTGTTGCGTTATATCTGTGTTCTCGTGGTGGAGCTACCTTTTGAAGTTATTTCACGTACTCGGCCTGTGATGTGCGCTTTCTGTTAATGCCGCTGCTCTTTTCCTACTTTGGACAAGTGTCTTTCATTGTCGACTTACTGGATTTACCGGGAGGGTCGATCTTTCCATTACTTTTTTCTCTCTCCTTCTTCTCATCTTCTCCTTTCTCCACTCCTCCTTCTTTCGCCCTGAAGCCACATCAAATCCCAACGAGGCGCAACGGTTGTGCGGACGATGGCATTAAACAAAGATGGTAAATAATTTCAATTCCTGTGTCATCGATATTTTTACAAGCAAGTAAAAATTTATCTAGATTGCCCGTTAGAAATGGGAATTCATCGACTTTTTAATCGTACCTATTAAAACATTCTTTTATCTCTCGTTGCCGTTGAAATTTTTCGAACCTGATGAGAAATATCAATTAGGCACTCGATACATAAACTTCTGAGAGAAATCTTCTGTTGGAGGAGATTCAAGTGGGATTAAGAAGTTTTTCACATTAAATAATATCAACTTCTGTTTGCCGCTAGATTATATGCTTCAATTAATTTACGTATCTGACCATGCTTAGAGAATACGAGTCTTTCAACTATCCATTTCATTTATTAAAGACGACAAGTCGGAGTCCAAGAGGGCTATCTTCATTTGATTAAATTACCTCAATATTGTGCAACGACTCTCAGAAGAGTTGACGCAAGAGAATTTACTAGCCCCTCAACGCAAAATAATTTAAATAGACAAAGCTCCTTCAATTTAAGAGAACGAGAAAGGCGATCTTGCGCTTCGACAGCCACAAAGAAGCAGGAAAATCTTACAAACATGCCTCCATAGAACCAATATGGGATATTTAGCAAGTCTCTCGCCAATAGTAGAAGCCTTTGTCTCAAATCGTGCCGTGTTGCTGACTGTAGCCAAATAGGTTTTACTTGAGCTGAGTGAATTAGACACAATATTTTAATATTTATCACCCACTATTCACAATTTGCTCACCTTTAATTCCCTATCTCTCAGTGTCTATTGATCGAAATACCACGACTCTTGATTCACGTGGATTCTTTGCATAAGGTTGGCGATTATCATTGAATGCCTGGGTATCTCTCGAACGAGGCTAGGCATGAGATGATTAGTTGTCACGAGGGGTCAAGGCGCAACAATAGAAGATTTTTACAGCATACAAATTGATTGCACTATTGACACAATGCCATTTTGTACTTAACGGTCTTATTAGTCGTGTCGATGGATTTTTCTCAAATTTCTCTTTTAACCTCCTCCACAAATGAGATTTTACTCTCTTTGCTCGCGTCAGACCGGGAGATAAATCTCTGGAGACTTGGAGTTTCACCATGACATTCTTTGTTTAAGCGCGACCATTAGAATACATACATATTGTACATTTCCTGATGGAAAATAGCAACCCAGGAAATTATGGACACCTCCGGACTCCGGAGTGAGGCTGACCAGAGTGCTTGTGAGCGATTGAAGATGCCATCGTCACTAATATGGTGAGGTTTGCATTCCGTGTAAGGTCACAGTGTTACCACTGTTCACGTTGATATCGAGGAATGGCTGGTGGTGGAAAAAGTCTCTCGTGAACTTTTATTGCATTGGCATGTCTCAAGAAATCTGTCGTTTTTATTGCCTTCGTACCGCCATATCGCCAGTAAATTGAAGCTCACATTGCGTCCATCAGTATTCGCCATATAAAATGCTCTCGCCGAAGCGATGAGACTTTCTTGTATGCCGAAACAACGGACGACGCGATGTACAGGAATGCTGTCACATCGGAAAAAAGGCTCCGTATCGACTTTTATATTTGCGTGGATGATTTAAAAGAAATGCAAGATCGAATTTCTCACTCATCAATACCTTTTCCATCATACCGAACGGCAAACCGTTACGCGACAATCTAATTGCGATCTACCATCCATGAAGGAGGAGATTTCTTTATTTCTTTCTCCTTGTCGAGAGTGTCTTCACCATCAGCATTTAACCCACTTTGGAGCCACCCGCCGTGTGAGATATCTATTTCTCCAATTCTTCACCACAACAGCTCACCGAAGATCTTCCACCTCGCGGAGGATTTACCACGGATCACCGAATCGTTCAATCATCGTGATCGGGCTGGACAAAAAGTGTGAGGTGTGTGCGTGAGACTAAACCAAAAAAAGACTAACCATGAAAAGTTAAATGCGGTAAGGGGCATCTGGGCTTTGTGCGGAAAACATCATATAGATGGTAACAATCGATGATTGCTCTTTAGCGTGTGATTAAAAGACCCACAATTCCCATTTATACCCAACTTTTAATTCCGCTTGTGTCTTTTATCTATCGATCTCTCATTGGATCGCTAGAAGTGTTTTATATGGCAATTCACATGGTGTCTCTCCATTGAATTATTTGGTCTTTTCGGCTGAGGTTCAAGCATTTGGCTATGTCCCATCAACATTGATTCGCGAATCACCTCATCATTGGTCATTTTTGCGCGTGGAGAAAAATTGATTCAATCGAGAACAGGAACTTGATCGATTTCGCATTCCCAGCATATCGACGATTGATGTTGAGAATGTTTTTTTTTCTTATATCTCTCAGTTGAAGCTTTTTCTGCGTTCATCGACTGTTTTTTTCTCTCTCAAAGATTTCAACTTTTTCTTGCTGCACCAAAGAAACTGGCACTGACATTAGTGCCATTTTCTCAGTTGGCGATTTTTTTCCCTCTTGCCCATCAATACGTATAAAATGTATGAGTTATGTGTATTTCTCAATACGGACATAGAGTGTATGTAAAAATAACCACAAGTCATTCTTCAATAATGTCGTGATTGAAGACTTAATTTTTAATCACGTTGGGCAGTAAATCAATCGTTTTTCTGCAATTAGTTTGTCTCCAGAGACTTTCCACATAAGACAGTCACTAGAGTTGATTTCCTTACTCACATAACCTTTCTTAGAAACGCAGTCTCGATGATGTTTGAAGAATTTTATAAATGCAATTCTTTTCCAAGTACCTACTAGCAAAAAATACCCAATGTGAGCCGCTAATGTGAACTTAGGAAAACAGGCAGAAGAGAGAGTGGAGGAGAATTGTCTTCAAGGAAAGGCGAGATTCCATTTAGCGGTGATGATTAATATTTGACGATTACTGAATTTATTTTAAATACCACCCAAAATATATTGCTACCTTAAGAGAGCATGAAATATCAAACAAATTTATTGCTGCTGTAGTAAAATTATTCTCATTTAATGGTCTTTCTTTTTAAAGTTAACTCTCATTCATTAATTTAATGAAACAGAAATTACACACAATTTACCACACGTCATATTTATTCAATGTTGGCAATTAATTACCAATTCGCGTTAAGTACTTAATTACATACTGATTAAAGACATCAATTTGAATGAGGTGAGACATGCAAAACGAAAATAATTCGAATTGAGATGCGAAAGAAATGTTTTGCATGACAATTCTGTGATTTTTTAAATGAGGAGCGTATCTTTTACACTTGTAATTGCAGACCACACTGCACGACACATTCTTCATAAATTGCCCCTTCAGGTGCAATTTTGCTGTAATTGTAAGGTAGATTTCCTAAGATATTCATCATATTTGGATCCTTGTGTATCTCTATGAAAATCTTAGTCTCATTTTGACTGAAATGTGTTACAATTTCGGCAACGAACATGTCACACATGAAGCTCTCTTACCTTGATAAGCGATGGATCTAAAGTCATGTTCCTTCTCACTTAATACCACTAACGGTGAAGATAGTGTCACGAAGACAACAAATGCCGCCAAAAAAGCCATTCTGCAAATAAAACAATAAAGATGGTATATAATATCAGAAGGAGGGTAATTTTCTATATAGATTAGTTTATATATACATAAGAATATACATTAGTGGGATTGAACGCATGTAATCGAAACCATGTGAGAGTTTCTCTTTTTCGTTCAAGTATAAACCACAATTTAATAAAAATGTTATGACGCCGTTATTTCTTTTAAAAACCCTCTAATAAAAACTACTAGTTACGCAAAACTCAACATGAGTTTTTCGGGTTTTCCACTGATTTTACATTGATTATATAGAATTAAAAGCCCTATGTGTAGCATAATATTATTTTGGGCTAGAAATTAAAGCAGTGGGTAGCTTCATATCTCACATGACAATATAAATTCGACATTGGCGGTTTTTAACCTGCTTAATCATGGCAAATAATAAAAGTCTATCTGATAGTAAAGCGAGACATTAAACGATATTAACCACAATTCATGGGCTGAAAAGACTGGAATCATTTGTAGAAGTGCCACAAAGTCTGGTGAAGAAATATTTCTCTATGAAATTTAATGTGAAGTGTGTGTATATACTGCAATAAATAACTGAGGTCATTTTGATGCTTTTAAAGGAAGCAATTCAATTAATTTTATGAAAACATTTACGTCAGTTATTACTCAGTTTATATTACAACTGTCAACTTTTTTCTCCATGCAATCAATACGTTGATTAATTCATTTTTGCGTAATAATGATTAGATTGCTTTACGGAGCACTTGTCACGGGGCATCATTCTTAATGAGATTTTGATAGAGAGTCGGAGGGATTTGGAGTGTTTGCAAAAACTCGTGTGAAAACAGAGTTCAAAATGTCTTGTGTGATTACGTACACGTAGCCACAAAAACCTATTATCTTCTGTTTGAGCAAGCTTTTTCGGCTCTGGCAGAACCACGCGATTTCGTTGGAAGAGAATTATCTCATTGAAGCAATATCAGACTTCGAGTCACCTTTTTCTGTTTGTCAATGCAAATGTTAAATAACAAGGAAAGCAAATAAAGCGCAAAATAAAATAAGAAAGACTGACAAACAGAAAATGTTACGTGAAAATGAAGTCGGACGAGAAAAATTTAATGCTTTTAGCAGCAATCAGCAGTGTCACATTGAAGCGTATTTCGTGCAAGATCTTGCATGAAATATTGTCCGATGCTGATTATGTGTTTCACTTAATGAGACACTTCATATGCAAATATATATTTTTACGTATTGGCATAGAAGTGTCCTTTCCGAATGCCGAACAATGCCACATTCTCGCCCATTTTCCCAGCTACATTTTTCTATGAGCAACAGATTGTGTTTGAACATTCAACATTTAGTTAAACAGTTAAATTTTGCAAAAGCATTTGCCAGACCGCGTTTCACCATTTGTTTGTTCAGCAAGTAGAACATGCCAAATAGCGTCACAGTGATAAAGAAACCTATTACCATTCTCTTACCATTAATGCCCATAGCTGGGCGATAAGAGAAATATAAGACAATTTTTTGCCATGCCATTTTAAGTGCTATTATCTCAAACATTTTCTTGTCTTTTCCACTGAACCGGAGAAGTATTTAGAACGAAATATACATATTTTAGCGTTTTTCCTTGCAATAATAATTCACATAATAATTTAGAAGAGTGTATCTGCATATCATTGTTTATGTAAACAGTGCGTATGATTAATTTACAAAAACGCAAATTTGCTAAATAAGGGGGTTTCTCAGTGGCAGAAAATAACGTAGTGAAGCACTTAAACGCCAAAGGAACGTGCAATCCTCCTAAGTCAGACCATCTGCTAGATTCAATTTATTTCTTGCCTGTTTTGCTGCGACTCTTGCTCATATTTTCACAAGAGAAATTTCTTTAGGAACACTATATTCAATTGCGTGTGTAAAATGTGTAAAATAAATGGAAAATATTTTAACATTTATAGCACTTGGCTAATTGAAATTTTATAAAGCACCAACATATAAATTAGATGCTGGAATTTATGCAGTGAACAGCATAGTTAAACGCCCAATGACAAAAGTATAAATGCTTGACTAAACAGGAAACATCTGCTTGTAGATCATACAAACACTCCAAGTGGTTGTGCAAAAAATGGTTGGAAAATCAATTAGATAAAATTATACGACCACCACACCGCAAGGTGTGGCTTTTTATTGAAAGATGTTGCGAAAAATATGCCACTTCAATCAGAATGTGAAATCCTTTCATGATACTGAATTGCGGATTTCAAAACCGCTAACGGTTATAATGATTGGATGAGCATTGGAGGAGTACCACAGGAGAGTGTAAAGCTTTATCTCTCAATTGTCATTTCTTTGTGTAATTTTTCTCTAAGTATAGATCTCGTGAGGGTTCATCGATCTCATCAAAGTCATATCTCGGCCCATGAGATCGTTATGAATCGAGATAGAAATTTATTTCTTTATTGAAAACATCCAGCAAGACAACCTCAAATTAAATATTTGATGTGCCATGACTTTATCATCACACTTCTTCAGACCATCAAACCTGTTATCGTACAACATTGTATTTATTTAGGTTATCGTGCCCTCTAAATGCTCTCTTTTTCCCTCCACTTTTCCATGTGCTCAGCACCTTTTCTGGAGTTACTATCTCCGTGTTGGATCATATTTTGAACAACCACACTCCAACTCAAGACACTCTCTTCTTGGCCAATACACTTCCATGCGACTCGGCAGATAAATAAATGCGACACTTATTAATTGCTATCATCATGTTCTTGTGTACATGGTGACATCAAATGATTTGTTTTTATTTCCCAGAGAGAGCTTCACTTATTCTCTGGAGGAGACCACATCTAGCAAAGGAGATGGATTAAATAAGATTACTTCTAAGAAGTGATATCTTTCACAGTCAAATATTTTGCCTCTAATTTGTTGACATGAATCAGCTTCAACTGCGGCTACAATTAAAGTCACGAGAAGCATTGCTGTACTTTTATTAACTGTTGAATGACAGCAAATCTTTCTTGGAAACTCTCTTGTCAACTATGAAGGCAATCATCCAGAAGCTCATAAGAGCCGTCCCAACAATCCTGACCTATTGACATGCCTTGAATTGAGTATAAGAAACAGAAGAATGCCACCTGAAATCGTTTGCAAAATCTGTATTATGTAGCCATGCTATGTACATATTCGCTTGCCCATAGTCTCATCTTTTAAACCTGTTTGCCGGTTGCGTTTTGCTTTGGTGTAATATTTTAAATAAACTCTACGCAAAAAAGAGATACACTGCTTCTGAGAATCCTGCCGCATTTAAATATAATGCGTCCAGTTAACTCCAGAGACTTGATTCGCCCACTTTGTTCATTGTTTCAGACCAAATAAAGTGGCCCATCCACCTTCTCGAGGAGACCAAGTTTCAAATTTACACTGCGGGTCAAAATGCACAATCGGACAAAACGATTGCATAATCTTATATATACAGATTTGCCAAACAAACTTTGAATCGCAGATGAAACAAAATGAAACAAATTGATTGTAAAATGGTGTGGATCAATTCTATTAAACTCCTTTTACTCATTCCAAAATTTTTTTTTAATAATCCTTCTTCATGTATGAAGTTCAAAGCGAATGATTTTTATATACTTTTTGTGGCTGAATTTACTGAATTTCATAATACTCTGTTGAGGTTTTTCATCTCACTGTTTCTAGAAACTCATCCGAGCCTCTCTCTCTCTGCATGTGGTGGTTTTGCACATAACGAAAGTGTACGAGATACGCTAAGAACGTGAAATCCCTTTGCGAAAACAATGTATAGATAGAATCGCTGGCGGTGCATTTTAGACTTTGTTTTTTTGCTGAAAAATCTATAAACACGCTTACGTTTTAGTTTACGTTCAAATGTACTTTCGTGTGAGTTCTTGTGATATGATTATTCACACGAATGTCGCAAAAATGAATTGACAGGCACTTAACTCAGTGCTTCAGAGTATTTTGTCTTTTTCCATGTCCGTTGAAATATTATCATCAGGAATAAATTGTCTCTCTTAGCCTTCAATTTCGTTAAGGCTTTTTTATGATCACGTCTTAAGATAATTGATATGGTAATTTTTAGTCAGTGTGATATTATTTTATCGATAAATATGCTCTTTTCAAAAATACACCCGGTAATTGTAAAATATTACCTTGAAATTCAATACATTCAATATGACTTGGCGGAAGTTGATTTATTGAGTGACACATGGATTTATGCAATTCCAAAATCTCATCAGTTACAAATAATTTCTGTGAGACATTCTCGGCCTTCATGAAAATACTTTTGCACATTTTTCATCACAATCCAAAGAGATTCTCCAAATAGCACACACTGAAAAAATAATTGAGACTTTTTTTTAGAAAAAAATGTGTGTTACAATCCCAAAGTCACATAATCAATTCGTCTGCACGTTTAAAGATCTCTTCCAAAGGGCATTTCACAAATTTTTGGGATCCTAAAACGTGTCGCTAAAAAAAGAGACGAAAAAGGAGGGTCACTGAAGAGGACTATTTAAAAGGACAGTAAGTAAAAAAAACTACCATCAGGTCGTGCATCCATGGCAAAAATCTGGACAATGGTTCGGAATTCTAAAAGATTGTTGTTACATAGATATGCCAAACACGAAGAAGAAACAGAGAAAGCGATATAGGATTTCACGGTGATTTATGACATTTCATGGTTCTCAGCGAGAGTGCCACATAAAAAGTCAAAATCTAATCGACTTTTGAAATTAGTGATTTTCGAGGGCCTCAGTTTTTTTCTTTCGATATGTGAGAACGGAGAGCCCATTTGGGATCTTAGTTGCACTCTTGCATAAACTCACGTCAAAGAAATGTTTGGCCTGAAAAAATATCCCAAGCCATCAGGCCTTTAGACTTTCGGGACAACTAATGAACAACTGTTTTCACATTAATTTCTGCACGAGAGAGAGAGAGGATCTACGTAATTGATATGTGAGAATTCAGGGATATGGGAGAAACAGGTTAATT